AGAGAGAGAGAGAGAGAGAGAGAGAGAGAGAGAGAGAGAGAGAGAGAGAGAGGGAGGGAGGGAGAGACTCAATCTTTGTTTTCAGTTTGCTGTTCGCTTCAGTAGCAAGGTCACTCAAAGTAACAAGTAGCATGAAAATAGCTCCTGAAAAGCTACCATATTTCCCTGAAAATAAGACCAGGTCTTATGTTAATTTTTGCTCCAAAAGGTGCATTAGGGCTTATTTTCCAGTTAGGTCTTATTTTCGGGAAAATGCGGTACTAAATGTGTCCGTCTGGCTGACAATCTTAACTGGGGCTTATTTTGTGGGAGGGGGGAACTTATATTACGAGCATCCTGAAAAATCATGCTAGGGCTTATTTTCCGGTTGGGTCTTGTTTTCAGGAAAACACGGTATTGAAGAAGGGGCCAATGATTGAGTAGAGGGTATCACAGTGATGACTACCTTAATTTTTTTCTTTCTTAGACTGAATGGGAGATAAAGGGTTTGATTCTTTGCATGGGAGACATTCAATGAACCACGCTAGATGACAAACCAGCATACGATCAGACAGTGATCGTCTGGACTTCCTTCATGCAGTCCAGTTTCTGCACTGTTGTGTTGTGGCACAATACAGTTTTGGATGAAACATGTGATTCAGACTTAAAAACAAAGGACAAGACAATTGATTCAGACAGAGTTAAATTTCACCGCATGTTCTCATAGTAACTGTGGTTTCCCTTTCAGTTGTTTAAGTTTTGCACATCTCTTTTACTAATGTGGTCCACTGAAGGAGCTCTTCAGAAGATTTTAAGCTATAATTTCTTTTTTAATTTTAATAATCAGAGATTTGTAGCACAGATCAGGGTGGCTGGAAGCCATTGGCTTCTAAATGGTGGGCGTGGTGGGCAATCAGAACCCCACCCTTGACCCATATTAAAAAGAGATGAGGTTCTCATTATCCAATGTTGCCCGCCATTTTGGAACCATTGTCCATTGATTAGGGGCCATAGGTTTCTCTTTCACACATGTGTGCACCCATAAACTGCTTGTAATCAAATCATATGTTTACCTACTGCTACCACTAGATTCTCTGCCCCCAACCCTTTAATGCCATTAGACTATTTCAAAACAGTTTCATGAGAGATGTGACTTCCGTACAGATGATACTCTTTTTTACAACTAGCCAGAACTAAAGGAAAGGTGTTGTTTTAATTACCTCTGGTTTTTATCGTGATTGCACTTTTTAGCTTGAAGATTGATAAGGTACCTATGATTGTGTATCATTCCTAGGGATAATTAAATAAATGATGAAATTAGTTGTGTCATCTTATCCTGAGCGTGTCATACTCCCTTCTGAAATGAATAAACTACATATCAAGGCTTTCAGATTTTAATGCTTGAAAGTCTGGAGGATAATATGACAACAAACTAATGTGTGACTGAGGTGCAGTATTTGTTTGGGGTCACTTCTGGTAAATAAAAATATGACTTGGTTCATGTTTTTATGCTAGAACCACAAGTTGATAGTATTCTAATGCAAATGTTTTACCATCTTCCAACTATAGACATTTATTGCTGTGGATTGCTAAGTACAAGGAAAAGTGACTGCACAGGGTTGCCTTCCTCAATGCTAAACAACCCAGAGACCCCCCAGTCTCGAGGACATTACAGGATAAAAATGAAAAGAAACATGTCTTTGATCTGCTGGTACAATAAAGGCTACTTTAGATTTTTGACCAATGCTTATTCTCCACTTCAACAAGGTGAGTGGTTTGTTCTAAAGATGACTTCTTTCTATGAGAAGGGGGATAGGTAAGGTCTGGACTGTAAGAAAATTGGACAATCTGGATTAGAATCTAGAACAGAATAAAGTTAAATGCATCTTTCAATGCCATCCACATTTTTTATACATTTAAACCATACCATCTTTGAGCCGGAGCTTGAGAGATTGAGGAAAAACCTTTCTGCTGTTGCTTAAGACACTAGTAGAGGAAGGGTTAATCATTCTCTTTTTCTGTCACTCATGTGGACTTACACAGTTGCTGTTGTTATTTCCATTTAAAAAAAAATATATTAGAATTGGTTATGTTAAATGAGAAGCATTCAAAATTAAGCATAATATGGTGCCATGTCCAGTTGATTTTAAAAGGGTTAGCAAGCGATTCAGTAGATATTCTTAGCTTTAAGGAAATCAGACTCCTCCAGCTACATGACTATTTAAAAGTCAACAAGTTACTCAACAGCCAGCATTAAAAAGTAGCACCTCTTTAGAATCTGCCATTTTAATATGGCCCACTTCGCAAGCATTTAGCAACTTCCTTGAAGACCGAGAACCCTTAACAAACAGCTGTCCTCTCTGCAGACAACTGGTAAATATTCTGACAAGGGGTATTATATCCCATTCCTTACATCCAGGAAATAAAATTGTCTCTAGGTAACAAACTGAAGAATTAGATGGATGTGTGCATTTTCCTCAATCACTTCCATAAACATCTCAATATAAGAGAGGAAGAAGGCTAGTTAAGGTAGCTAGCTAAGGTAGAAGGCTATTTACAGAACTCTTCAGATCTGTCTCTTGTAATTATTGCATCTTGACTCTACTTTCTAGAGATTTTCTAAATATTTGGAAACTTATGCTGTGCAGAGGAGTGTCCAACCTTGGCAACTTTAAGATGTTTTTTCACGAGGAACTGAACTTTCTTGTTTTTCTTTGAAGAGGTTTTGCTTCTCATCCAAGAAGCTTCTTCAGCTCTGGCTGGATGGTGGGGAGCTGAAGAAGCTTCTTGGATGAGAAGTAAAACATTTTCAAAGAAAGAAAGTTGCCTCATGAAAAAGCATCTTTGGGACAACTATGACCTGGATGATTGAGAATCTCCATAGACGACTTGTGGACTTCATCTCCCAGAATTCAACTGCCCTCGCTGTCTGGGGAATTCTGGGAGTTGAAGTGCACAGATCTTAAAGTTGCCCAGGTTGGACACCCCTCCCCCCACTGTACAGTATGCTACTTCCTGTGTGTTCTTGGAATACTGAGCCAAGTTGCCCACTGATTCATCAAATCCAGTAGTATTTTCAATCAACAGTATAACATGATGGTATTTTATGTATTTTGGTTGCAACAGGAGTTATCATTAAGAGGAAGAGTGGAGAGATCCCATGCCCTCTTGCAGTGGAAGCCTTTGCTGCTCATCTTAGTTATATTTGCAAATATGATGACAAATATAGCAAGTAAGTAAACAACAACTTATGTGATTGGAAGTGTGAAACTTTTAAACAAAATTCAGGACCCAATATGACTCTCTGTAGAGAATGATACCATATAAGAAATGACCTACCAACTTTTTTGAAAATGAAGGTAATTGTTTAAGGTACTTTAGCAATTTTCAAGTATTTGGAAATAATATGTGTACAGTTGCTGGTTTCCAAGTCATGTGAAGAAAGTGTGCTTGTCAAATCTTCACTTCTGCAGTACTTCAAAAAGATTCAAAGGAAATGCAGCTAGTTTAAATGAGGCCATTGAGGACCATTACATGAATGAAAACTTAAATTCAAAGCAACTATTGGGGAAAACTGAATATTATTAGCCTGAAGGAGAGAGCCTAGAAGCATATGTAGAATTCTGAAATATTTGAAAGATTGTTACATACAAAACAAGGCCACAACCTGCTTCCTTTTATTTCAGAGGGCAGATAATAGCATAGGAAAGGAGATTCCAACTCTTCCCAACAGTAAGAATAGTTTGATAGTGGAATCACTTACCAAATAAAGTGATAGCTACCTCTTTGTTCTGTGCATTCATAGATTTCTAGGTCGTTTATCATGGATGCTTTATTTTGGATTCCTGAACTGAATTTAGACTGAAGATGTTAGTAACCAACATCTTCCAGTTGTATGATTCTGTGCATTTATGCTAGTTAGAGATTGATTTGATTCTCTAAACTGCTATAGGTCTGTGTCCAGCAGTTAAAATTATATTCTTACATATAGAAAATATTATAAGGTTCTACATCTAGGAAAGAAAACCCAAATGCACAGGTATAGTATAGGGGGTACCTTGCTCAGTAGTAACTGTGAGAGGGATCTCGGAGTTCTAGTTGACTAAATATAAGCCAGCAGTGTGCGGTAGCTGCCAAAAAAGCCAACACAGTGCAAGATTGCATTAACAGAGGGATAGAATCAAGATCACATGAAGTGTTAATACCACTTTACAATGCCTTGCTAAGGCCACACTTGGAATACTGCATCCAGTTTTGGTCACCACGATGTAAAAAAGATGTTGAGACTCTAGAAAAAGTACAGAGAAGAGCAACAAAGATGATTAGGGGACTGGAGGCTAAAACATATAAGGAACCTTTGCTGGAATTGGGTATGTCCAGTTTAATGAAGAGAAGGATGAAGGGTGACATGATAGCAGTCTTCCAATAATCTCAGGGGCTGCCACAAAGAAGAGGGAGTCAAGCTATTCTCCAAAGCACCTGAAGGAAGGAAAAGAAGCAACGGATGGAAACTAACCAAAGACAGAAGCAACCTAGAACTAAGGAGAAATTTCCTAACATTTAGAACAATTAATCAGTGGAACAACCTGGCTCCAGAAGCGGTGAATGTTCCAACACTGGAAGTTTCTAAGAAGAGACTGGACAGCCATTTGTCTGAAATGATATAGGATTTCCTGCCTGAGCAGGGAGTTGGACTAGATGACCTCCAAGGTCCCTTCCAACTTTATTATTATTATTATTATTATTATTATTATTATTATTATTATTATTATTATTATTATTATTATTATTATTATTATTATTATTATTTGGGAAAAGTTGCATCTAGACAGTACTACTTCATACTGCAAGTAGGAAACTGCACATTTTAATGCTCTTCTACATGAAAGGAGTGTAGTGACAAAGGCATCTGGGTAGAAACTGGAAGACCATAAGTTCTAGTGCCACCCTAGGCACAAAGTCAGCTAGATGACTTTGGGCCAGTCACTCTCTCACAAATCTGAAATCTTGCCTAGAAAAACTGCAGGGACATGTTCAGGAAGTTGCTAGGGATCAATGCTGACTCAAAAGAATACATTACACAAACATGTACATACACAAATATGGATTGTGTTTGGAACATAGCTGCTGTATAACCGTATGTTTTTTTTTAATCTTCCCTTTTTTCCTCCCTAAAAAAACTGCTTCTACATCCCCAAGTACATTTTCACAGATATTCAATAACCAGGGGTGATTATTTAATCTTTCTTTTCATTTGAAAACAAAAGAGTAGAGGACTCATGAACCTGGGGGTTGCAGTGTCTTTGCAAGGAAAGAGAGATTTCTAGTAAGACTGCAGCACATGAGAAAAGTCTAGCTGTCTTTCTATATCTTTCTATACCTCCCTGTCCTTCAACAAGAGGAAACTTACATTTTGATATTTAGTATTAAATCTATTTGGTTTTGAAGACATACCAAGCAGCGCTTTAGATGACATACCTGTTCCCAGAATTCACCAATTATTAGACAAAAGGAGATGGCTGCTTTAAGCAGCAGGTTTTGAGTGGGTACATTCTGGTTTTGAGTTCATTGTAGCTTTGATTAGCTCTACAATTTCTAAAATGTCTTCCTTTCAGCCTATTCCAAAATTATTTCAACCAGATGAAATAGCTTCAGCTCAGTTTTGTATCTAAATATGGTATACCAATGAAGGTATGGAAATCACAAGGGGAGAAATAGAGGATATCTATTTGGCATATCTTTGGCGGGGGGAGGGGAAATCTCTCATGATCTCCCTTTCCCCCAAATCCAATGGTTTGAGCAAATTTTCCTTGGCAGGACCGCTTGTGATATGACCAGATCACTTTCCCCTTAAAAAGAGCCAGGGCCTGCAAAATACCAGTGACAGCCATTCAACACATGAATCAGATAAAGCCTCAGAGTTGAGCAAACAAGAAATCTCGTCTTGACTACAAACTTGGGACATTTCCCAAACATTTCAGGAAGGGAAAGACAGAACTTGGCCACAGTTCTCAAGCTTGTTTCCTGGCAGGCATGAGAAATTAGTGGTATTGCCAGCTTTTCAAAGATCATTGACTCTCCAAATGGACTTTGGCACTGTAAAATGGCAGCAGGTAAGTCCAGAAAATTGAGGCTTGTCCCAGAGGAGTTTCATTTATTAACAGATTTTTCAGCTGCCCTTCAACTTCTGTCTCAAGGACAGTTTTTAAGCAGACATTGGTAGTCTCAATTCTTATGCAGTAAAATAAGTTGAGAGATTTGTGGCAAGCTACTGTAATAAGCTAACTTCTCATATATAGACAATGTGGTGGGCTGGGAACATGGAAAACACTTCTTCTAAGGTAGATGGGCAATTCAGAAATTTGAAAAATAAATAAACATAAATAATTTCCCTCACACTTTTGATATAATATGGCGGTTTTGCCTAGTCTGGACTACCAAAAGTCCAAGTCAGTGTGACCCATAACTTACCAGCTAGATTCTGGAAGTTTGGGTTCCAATGTATCAGAAGGATATCCATTAGTGAAAGTTCAACAAATATGATAAACTGTATATGGTGCACACCATTGAATTAATCCCTAAGTTCTCTTTGGAGAACAAGAGATCTTCCATCTGAGCTGATGATGTTGTAATCATAATGGCTTAGTGGGATTGTATTTCCAAATTGGTCCAGATAAAAAGCTCTTAAGCTAAAGAAAAACTGAAATAATTCAGAAGCTACATTTTCAGTATACAGATGTATTTTTGCCAAAGAAAGGAAAAGGGAAGAATATTGGTATTTAGTCTAACTGCAGATAGAATAGATTGTCTGACCCAAGGTCACTGAACATTCTTACTGGAGTTTTTTCCCCCCTTAAATTATCTATAGTTTACATGAGGTTTTAGAAATAATGATGGATTGATAGGAGTCACATATATCATAGTGTCAGAAAACCGTATCCTCTTCTGAGTGACATAATAAAATATAAGTAATAGTATTTTTGATTATAAATATATTGTATTATAGTTGATGTTACATGTGGTTGACTATTTTAATGGGCATGGCTTGTCAATTGTCGTAATCTTTGGGAATTATAAATTCCAAGATGACAATCACACTTCTGTGATCTAGGCCATTTATGTTCAAGGTAAGTTTTGAACAATTTAATCCATTATTTTAGTGAAATAAAAACATGGAATAAATGAAATGAGATTCTACCACTATCTTGTGCCAAGGAAAAACAAAAGTTAAAGACATTTCTTACATTCTTGTTTGGTTCCGTGTAATATTGGGAGGAAAATGTTTACTAAAAACACACAGACAGTTATACTGCAGTGATGTGAGGTATTTGCGATGCTCTAAAACTGTAAGGGCTAAAGCTGGCAATGCAGGGATCCGGTCTAGACAAAACTGCTGTGTTAAAATTAAGCAGCTGCTTGCCATTCTGAAGGTGTATAAAGGAGTGACCAAGAATCTGCTACCTAAAAAGGAAAGCAGGAAAAGATTTAAGGTTTAAATGACTAAGATATATGTATATGTCTTGGTTTCTGTGTGGCATCAGACAAATCTTCTGAGTATATGTGACTTTTGGCAACCAATAAAATAACTGGTCTTTGAAGATTTCTGTGGTTATCTATATTGTAGAGCTGAATTTCTGGTGTAGGAGAGATTTATAGCCATTCTTATCCTGAATATCCTCTAAAAGTTGTGAACAGAGTGTACCATATACTGGAAAGTGGAGCAGTAGAATGGGACTTGTTGTTCTGGCAGATTGCTGAACCTCTACAGAAAAAGGAGAGAACTTGGCAAAGCCAAGCTGAGGCAACACTTATTCAGGCCTTTATACAAGAGTTCATTGAAATTTATTAGGTGGAAGCTGAAGCCGAATTCAGTTTCTAAGCTAATACTTGCGTGGTGTGTTTTTGCAAAATTCACAGGGGTAGTTGTAGCATCACATTAGTCTGGCTTGTGCAAGCAGTAAAGTAGCCAAATTGGATGGTGGATTGTTGTGCACTATCAACATCCAAGAAAAGAACAGCACTGTTCTTAAAAGTGAAGTGTTGTCTACTTTTAAAAACAGAAATCAAAGCTTTCATGAGTATCAATTGTGGTCTATTCAAAGACTACACCAAAAAGAGACTTGGTTCATTGGTTTATTTTAGGACTTCTAGAGGTCATGACTGATTCTTACTCATTTGGTTTGTTGTGATTTTGCTTCCACCTCTAGTATATTGACACATAAAGGCACTTAACTTATGCAGTGGAGAGCAATGGAAAACTAATATAAATCTTGGACACGGTGATTCCTGCAAAAAACACTATGAAATTATATGAAATGCATCACAGAAATCCACTAGGAATAAATCAATCACAGATTTTAAGGTTATGTTTCAGTCTGCAGTAGTAAAGATAACCTACAACTTGAGATCTTCATTTAAATGCAAAAGACCAGCTGGGCTGCTGCTTCATCTGCCATCTTATTTCCCTTATTCCTCAAAGTATGAAAGGTCTGAAGCATTCAATCTAGGAAGATCTCAAAATTACACTATGAGAAAACCTAGTGTATTAATGAGTAATCAAGTTTCTGGATCCCTGCAATCTCTAATTTAGATTGCCTACTGGTCTACAAAGGACTGGGATCGTGTGAATTCACAGAACAGATACATAACTGAAAGAACTTTGGATATTGAAGTGCTAAGAGGTTCTGGAAGGTGACAGATGCAGAGGCGTAGCGTGGGGGGTGCAGGGGGGGCCGGCCGCACCGGGCGCAACATCTGGGGGGGCGCGCTCGCAGCTCTCTGTCCCTGCCTGGCTCACTCACTCTCTCTGCAGTGCTGGCTGTGCGAATCCGATCCGAGCCGCCGGGTCGCCGCCCACTGTGGAGGGGGGGGCGCAAATTACTTGCCTTGCCCCGGGTGCTGACAACCCACGCTACGCCACTGGACAGATGGGATATCATTCTGTGTCATTCATAATTACCTTGGAAGATAATGCAAATTTAGAGCACCCTGCATTTAGATTCTGCCACTTTTAGAACACATCCCTTCCTTTTTGACTTAAGACACATTTTAAGAATTCATTTCATGACCTCACCGTTCTCTCTCTCTCTCTCTCTCTTTCTCTTTGGTGCTTTCCAGGTATTTCATTTCTCATAAACCAAACAAGACCTGGCAACAAGTCTTCTGGTTTTCCATCAGCATTGCCATAAACAATGCTTACATCCTGTACAAAATGTCTGACGCCTATCCTGTGAAAAAATACAGCCGAGTACAATTTGGTGAGAGACTCGTAAAGGAGCTGCTTGGATTGGAAGAGCCCTCACCTGGCCATTGATGGATCCTTCTTCTCAGCTTAGGCTAGGAGTGGGGGAGATGGAGGAAAGAAGAGGGAAAGAACTCTGGGATGCCAAGATGGGTAACTTACTATTCCATGTGACAAAATAACTAGGGAAGCCCTTAAGTATGCTGGTGTCTTCCCAATGGCCTTGTTGATGTTCAAAGGGCCCTCAAGAGAGCACTGTATGAAAGCTGCACATGTGAGTGCAACACAAGCATCGGTGAATCAGAAGTGAATTTATGTTAGCTATTGCTCAATCTGATTTTTCAAACAGGGTGTTAGTTGTCACACAAATCCTTTTCCCTATCCCTTTTCAAGATAGAAAGGCTCAACAATTCCAGTTGGGCATGTTATTGTTTGTTTGTTTGTTTTTTAATCAGTGCACAATGTGTAAAGTTATGCACTGCTGTGTGGCTGAGAAGAGGTTGCTAGAAGAGAAATATATATATATATATATTAAAAATATATAAAAAAATCTATTTTGCAAGCCAGTGATTAGGCAATGGCAGATGAAGACAGTAGACTGAAGATTTTATTTTGTTGCAATGCTTTTAGATTGTAAAAGGGGATATAATTTTGACAGAAAAATGTTTTTTTTAATATAAAGGAACAGTGAGAAACTGAAAAGTTTACCAAACTAAGTTCATTGTGCTATCTGAAGTCCAAGATTAATTTCAGTTATGCCATAACAAAAGCATATGAGATTTAATTGCAATCATCCTGTGTTATTCTCCAGACCTTGGATTTTTCTACACAATGTGAGAAACATATAAAAGATTCTCTGAGGAATTAGTTTCTCCTTAATGGTGGCTGGATTTGTGCTTTTTGCACAGTGCTGCATAAACGTATATGCCAAATCCAGAAATAGTTAAAGGTACAATTGGAGGCCTCAAACCTAATGATATATACTGGTAAGTCTAAAACCAAATGACATAATTTGTTGCAAGTTGATGTGTCATTTGTGAAATTGCTGAGTGAGGCACAATATATTTTCAATTGTGTTATTTCCATTTGTCCTTTAAAAACTCTTACCCAAAACAATTTAACATTTCTAGATGCTGATAAATATCTAAGTACCCTATACATCTCCATACTGATGAATGAATGCTGAGTCACTGCCAAAAAGTTATGACAACATTTTCTTATTTTGCTCAGTTAACATCAAACTCGTCAGCTAGCTTTTTCCCAAGGCATTTACTTCATTATGATTCCATTGTTTTGGCCATCTTGCTGCCTTGTCGTTTATGACAAATGAGACACTTTTCTAAAGAAAAAAATCATTGCAATACTAGACAATCAGAATCACTTGCATGCTAAACTTTGTTATGAACCAGTTCCAAAGCATTAAAAAAGAAATAGTCATGCCTCCACTTCAGCACAAAAAGTGCTGAGTATCACATGGTTACCAGCCACATGGGGGCATGAAAAAAATTGCACATAATTACATTGCAGAGTTTGACTGTAGCATTGCTTTGTGTGATACAATTTAAATATTCAGAGATGACATTCCCTTTTAAAGCAAGTGATCGCACATGGAAAGATGTGTTTAAGTCCTTTTGGAATTAACTATTTTCATAATTGTTTAATAGTTAACAGCCCAACACATCTGGAAGGAAAGATTTCGGAAGGCCTCCACAGAGCTAATATCAATGTAAACGTCTTTATGTCCTCTGTGGGTCTTAGGGGACTCAGGGGCTGCAAAACCAGTGTTAGATGCTCCCAATGACAGGAGCTGATAAGTATGTGAGCTGGTGCAGTTTGAATCAATTGCATTTTCTGAGTATTTTTAAGGGTAGTCCCCAATAGAGAGTGTTACAGTAGTCTAGCCAAATGGCAACCGGGGCCTGACCAGGGGTAGGCAACCTTGGCTTTTTTATGACTTGTGGACTTCACCTCCCAGAATTCCTGAGCCAGCCATGAATCATAAAAGAGCCAAGGTTGCCTACCCCTGACCTAGACCTTCTTGGCTCAAGTCAAATTGCAAATGATATACTAGCTGAAGCTGGGCATAGACTTCTGAGTCACTGCATGCCAAGGAATATAGGTATCTGTCATTCAGAGACAGTTGCTGTTGCATTTATAGGTCTGTGAATGTTACGTTCCGGCTAGGGGACACTTAAATCTCAAAGCACAGAAGACATAGACGGATTGCCCAATCAACATGCAGGATGTGCATATCCATACAACACTTAGTTGAGATTTCGGAGGTGTGCTCGTCAGCGTGTCTGCAACCATCTGCAACTTACACTTACCTATCAATCCCTTCACAGCGTAGGTGTGTGTTGACATCTACCACACACACAATTGTGGACAAGTCTAAATCAACCTTTACACTTAAGCATGGCACAAACACACCCTGTGAACCTTTTTATTTCTGCCATGCTGTCATTTCACCTCCAACCTATCTACTGAGTGTTATTTCCCCCCCCCACACACTTTTTTTCTGGAATTGTCCAAAAATAGCCATCAGGTATGTAAAATGTGTTAGGCTTTTTACCCATTTCTTTGGAAGGACGTTAGATGACTGCAGTGACTGGAAATAGAGGCAAAGAGGCAGGATAGGAGTCAGTCATACATCCTGGCAGAGTTTTCTGCCAACTCAAGGATGGTGGATAGAACCAACTCACAGTGTAAGCGGGGGGGGACACACAATTTTGCTTCAAAATAGTTAGCATTTGCAATATAGTATACCTTTGTATTCAAACTTTCATTTGTTGCATAATGCCTGTTTATCCAAAGTTTAGTTTAAGGAGGTTTTCTTCCAAAAAAGAGTAAGGATTTCAGCCATGTTGGCTGACCATTAAAAGCTTCCTACTCATCTCAAATATACTTTAATTAAGTACCACTCCTTAACAAGCAACTTCATTCCATTTAACACAACATGCTTCTTATAGAATTAGCTAGTCTTGGTGAATTATTTTTTGTAGTGAAAAAAATCTTCCCATAGATAGTTGATTGACTTGCTTGAATTAACATAGGTCAGCTTTCCTCAACTTTAGCATAGTTAGAGGGCATGGACAAGTATTCTTCTTGAGAAAGGCTGATCCAGATGTGTTTCAACATCCTGAACTTTTATGAGGTCTTCATTACTTTGTTTTACCAATTATGCCTATATTTCCTTAAACATTTTTTGTTAGGACTAGCAATATCACAAGAGGGCTTGTCTCCCATATTCAGTTGGGTATATAAGATAATACTGGTAATATTTCATTCTTAAAAATGTGAAATTGTATTATAGTCTTCCTTGTACTTTTCTTGAAATTTAGAATTTCTATAGAAGGATCTCTAAGCATACCAATTTCCTCCCAATTTCTCACTGATGCTTAAGAGCATTGTTCATCTTACAAGACTTGTACACTACTCTTAAGAGTTCTCCTGTCAGGATATAGTGCCCTGACTATACAAGTATTCAAGGTGAGGATGTATTCATATATACGACAATGAACTGGGGGTATTGAGTTATGCATTCATCTGGGTAAAGACCATCCAGATAAAGATAGGTATAGCGATGGACAGAAAGCGTTTCAAAGGTGCTTTTTCAAAAGGCAATTTGGACTTGTTTTTTCCTTGAGGAAGATGTTTCGCTTCTTAACCAAGAAGCTTCTTCAGTTCTGACTGAATGGTGGTGGGGGGGGGGAAGGGGAAGGATTTATATTCCTTTGACTTCCCCACCATTCACTTAGAACTGAAGAAGCTTCTTGGATGAGAAGCGAAACATCTTCCTCAAGGAAAAAACAAAGTCCAGTTGCCTTTTGAAAAAGCACCTTTGAGACAATCATGGCTTGGATGACTGAGAATAACACGTGACAGTGAGCCTTCCCTAGAGCTATCCCAGGGCACAAAAAACCCACTCAAAAGATATCAGGCATAGCACACTCACTGTGCCTTTCATGGCACACCACACACTTATTGTCACTCAGTGAGATCCTGGCACATGATAACCAACATTTCACTCAGTGACACTAAAGTATCGGTTTTTGTAAAAAAAAAATGTGTAAATTATGATACCATGGTTTAAGAAGTAGAACATAGATATTAAACCAGTGAAAACACTGCTATTCAAATTGGAAGTTTTTAAGAAGAGATTGGACAACCATTTATCCAAAATGGTATAGGGTTTCCTGCCTGAGCACAGGGTTGGACTAGAAGACCTCCAATTTTGGTATCATTCTGTACCCACTAGACTGGCCTCCAGATTCTTCTTGAGTGTTTAGGTACAGGGCTCAGGCAGCATATTCATTAATTGGATGAAGTGAAAATAGCTCTTTTCTGGGTGGTAATGTGAAACCTACGAAGCTGAAGAGGTGTGGACACGACAAGATCCGAGGAGATTTTTTAAAAATTGAAAAGTTTCATGCAACACAATTATAGTGTAGGAGGAACGGAGAGTAGAAAATTACATTGAACAGCAGATGGAAGTCCACTTACCTTTATGATCACGGATCAGTATATTTTGTAATCATTTTGGTGAGCAGAAAGGCCAATGGGAAGTACTATTTTCCCATTCTTCTAGGAGCTCTTAACTGCTATCATTCATTCTCAAAATAATTTTGTAATGGCATTTGCAAATTAATCTGCATTAACATGTACAATTAATAAAGATCTTGCATTCCACCACGAAGTGGAGTGAGATAGAGGAAGAGGAAAATAGCTGTTGCAACTTAGCTTGTTTATTATTTCATATTTTTGGCCTTTTTTTCTTTAATCTGACATAGTAGCAAAAAGAAGTTCAATCTCGAAAATAGAAACATTTAGAGGAGACAAAAAATAATCAGCCTAGGTAAATTAACCTATCTAAAGCATTACTATTGAAACTTGCTTAATTGGTTAGGGAAAGTGAAGGACAACATGAACTAGATGTGTGCAGAAGTCCAAAACAATTGATGTAGAGTTCACAGCTTGGTAAAAAGTAATATGAATGTCTATCTTATACTGGCTTAGGAAATGCTGTACTTTTCTGGTTACCGAGACCTCATTCTTTTCCTTTCCAAAAATAAAAGCAATCAAAATAGGAGGTCCTTGATAAATAAAACCAGAAATGATCCAGGTCTGTTCCATCTATGCATACTGCAATGTTACGGCTGCTGCACTATCGGTCAACACACAACAGCAAGAGCTCAGGGGCTGATTTCAGTAAAACAGGCCAAGCCATCATAGAGGAAATAAATGAGATATTTGGAAGGGAAGCCCTGTGAGCTATAATTTTTTTCCTTTCCATTTTTGCAACGTATGTGTCATTAAATGAAGTAATACCCAGTACACTAGTGTAGTGCTGTTATTGTGAAAAGTGTGTTCAGCAATTTGTACGTGATCAACTCTGCTCACAATACACCCATCAATGGCTGAAGTTCAGTCATAAGCTTCCTTCCCAAAATGTGTTGAACAGGAAGTTTTTGTTAAACCATGTCAGTGCCGGATTAAACGTGCAGTGCTGTTTTATTATTTGGGTTGAAATAAAATCTTGATTTTTATACATATGCATCTATTCAAGGAATGCTTGTGTGGAAGCCCCTACACATAAGTAAGGTTCCCATCTGTATTTCTGGCTCTTTGGTTCAAGTGAGGATCTAAATTTTTGTGACTGTTTTTTTGTTCTACACAAAAGCACGCTTGCAATAAATTTTTAGAGGTTTTCTATGCCATGAGCTAAATTCTAAAATGTGAAATATGCTAACACAACTCAATGGATTTATAATATCACTCTGATGTCATGTGTTTTTTTTCCTTCCTTTCACAAAATTTGTCTTACAGTCAACAACTTTGAAATACAGTCAAATATAGATTATAAATTAGTTTTCCTTGTCTCATTTTTCCTGGGGGAGGGAAGAATTTGGGTCACAGAAAAGAAATCTAAGCTATAAGATTATGGTTTAGGCACTGGGTAAAAGGAAACGGTCATGCAGCAATATTCATATTAAATTTAAAAATTTAACAGTGATTAATATCTTTATATCTGAATCAGCATGCTATCAATAAGTGGCATTTACTCTTTGAGGCCAACTTACATACTAATCATGCTATTATCCCTCAGGATAAACCATGTTATGTAAATTGCAAAACAAGAGTAAGAAGTTGTGAGCAAAGGAAATGAAAGGTAGGCAATAAGAGTAAAGGAAATCTAACCAAATGCACTTTACACCAACCTCATTTGCTATACATCTTCCTAACTTTTTGCCTTGTAAAACACAGCATTCAAATTTAGAAAAAGATTGCCAAGTAGCAGAAGCACCCAAAATCACAGAAACTGAATGAGGTGCGAACTTTAACTCAAAACCTGGAAATTTCATTAGCGGCTAATGAACAAAGTTTCATTCTCCCCTGGAATAAGTTATAATTGTACCTTT